GATAATTATATAGTTCTAATAGGTAATTATAACCTCAGATATTGTCCAGTTACCTTTACATTGTCACCTTGGGTTTTTATGGCAAACAAAGAGTTAATACTTACTGAGGTCCCATGGTATTCATATTGCTCATAATCAAAGAGGATTTCTCGTCTAAAAAGGGGAAAAAAACCAATACATTTGACTTAAGGATGAACTGATCATTGGATCCAATTGAAAATATAAGCCCAGAACTGCAAATAATATCTCAGATTCATTTTAGCAGTGAAAGAAATCAAACTCAGGTTGGAAATTGTGCGAGGCAAACAGACCCCAGTAATAATGTGGAAACCACTCTGAAATGTACTCATAAAGCAAAAAGGAGAAATTTGTTAAATCACTATTCCTCAAAGCCCATTTTATCTGATTTGCTCCTGCCCATTCCTATTAATGGGATTGTAAAAGAAGACAGAAGCACAAACTTCACCCTAGGATGGGCAAGACAAGAATACCACAGCTATTTCAGTGAAGCAATGCACCTACTGCTACTCACATTTTAAATTGCTATTTACAACATCCCTCATCTAAACATTTTAGTTTTATACAGTAAATATCCCTCTCAGCTTTCTGAACAGAACTAGAACTAAAGCATCTTGCAAGTCATGTTGGGATCATGTTTGCCTTCCTAACAAGATTCTAGTCAAAGACTGAGAGTAAGAACAAGAGGTACAAGCAACATAAAACCCAGTCAGCACACCTGCGTGCTTCCCATTCTCGCCTCTGTCGCCTTCTCATCGTCCTCTCTATCACATCCTGTGAATTAATTGGGATGGTAAAAGCTAGATTAGCATCTAGACACTTTAATGATTAAATCTTAATTAAAAAATGTAATTAAGGTATTCATTATAAAGAACTTTTTAAAAGAATTATTAAAAAAAAAGAATATTGCTATGAACAGCATCTCATGAGTCAAGTATTAGTATCAAATATTTTTCCAAGGAACACAGCTGTAAGAAGTCATTAAGCGTAATCAAGTTCAAAACATCTTTCTGTGTTAGGAGAAAATATTTCTATGCAGTTCAGATAAATAAACCCTTGTTATTTGTGAAACTCTACCTGATTATTTTTACATCATGCACTCTAATTTGTGATCTAGTGGAACACAATTTTTAAAGTGAAATACAAGTATTTGTTGCAAAATACAAGTTTTAACAGTTTTATTTTCCTTATTCTCACAACAAAGTAGCAGAAACACACCTCTTCAAAACGTCTGCGCTTGTCTGAAGGTTCTGAGCCCTCACTTTCACCCTCTGAATCCTCTTCTTCCTCCTCTTCATCTCTGAAGATATCATCATAAGCAGGAACATCGAGATCATCATCTTGCTTGACTAACAGCTTAATCTAGCAAGAAAAAAATGTAGTTAGGGAGTAAAACATCTTAAATGACATATGAGAATACTTCAGTATTCTTACTAAGAGAAACTAAAAATTCATTTTTATTTTATAATTTCATTTTATAATTCCAGGAGTATCAAAAACATTGGTTTTGAATAGAGAGACCATACTGATTTATACAAAGTAAGGGTAAAAAAAAACATATTCCTTTCTTTACAGCATTACTGGATGAATTATTTTTACTTTTTTTTTTGATTGTTAAAATCAAATAATTTGTGTTTAATACTCGGAATTCTATGTGTTGCTGCTCCCTGACCTACTACCTAATGCTGGAAGCAGTTTTGCTCTACACCACTCACCACCACACTGTGGGGAGGTTTTTATCATGAAAGAAAAGTCCTTACCTGTGTGTCATTGTAAACATTCACTACATTAATAGGTCTGTGGCTGTCACATACAAAAAAAAAGGTGTCTTCTTCAGGCTGCAGGATTTCCAGGAGGTCAACATTGGCACCACAATTAATAAGAACAAAGTATTTGAACTGAAAAAAAAAAAAAAAAAAAGAGTTTAAAAAAAACCCCCTTGTTACTGAAATGAACAGGGGACACAGAAGACTGAAAATACCTTTACAAAACCTTCAAAACACTCATCATCGCCAAAACTTGGATTTGCTTTCTGATATTTGATGTCTTCATAGCAGAAACTTTTTGTAAGACAAAACACCAAACTTGGGGACATCCAACACCACCACTCTTTATATCTCAAAAGGTAAGCAAATCTAACTTGGCTCTATCAAAATTATAGCACACTAGTTTGGCCTGATATGAAGAACTGAACAAGCTTGTTACTGGTATGATAGAACGTAACCACAGTTTTGAGGTAACCTTTAATAAGAAGCAGTTTAAAAGCTGGCATTTTAAATGGGAAAAGGGAAGAAGTGCCTCTCTTTAGAAGATGAGCTGCAGCTTAAGAAGTTTCCCGTCTTTTGTCACCTGATCTTTGTGCTCCAGAAAGGCGGTTTCCAGCTCCTGCCACCCAGACACTGGGACGAGGGTGTACTGCACGTGGTCGCACTGGAACAGGGCCTGGAGGGAAGCAAACAGCTGTCAGGGGAGATGAAGGAAACAGCCTCTCCTACAATGCCAAATTCTGTTCCATACTAATCTTTCTAGTAAAGACATCCCAAATGCCAAATCTACAGGAACCCAGAGGATGACTCACCAGTTTTCCATGTAATAACTCATGGAAAAATTAAGTTACAAAAGCAGATTAAACCTTTACCCTTTCCTCGGTTCAAACCAGTTAAAAGGATCCCAGGGTATATTTTCTTTTACTGCAGTGATAATGAACCAAAACTTACTTGGAGTATTTTACAAGCACATAACGCATCAACATCTGAAGCGACAAGAAGAAGAACACGCTGCAAAAATAACAAAATAAATACATTAATACAGGTGTCAGATCTGATGTGTGGAACATGAAATGCATAGACCACTGTGAGGCCAGAAGTTTAGGTAGATATCATTATAAGCATAAAATGGAATTGCTTCTGAATGGACACTGCAACCAAAATTAACCAGTTTAGATCCCTGTAAATATGAACAGAAAGCAACCCCAAAGGATACCCAAAATATGTCAGCTGCTTTAGGGAAATGTAACTACTCAGGTTCCTCTGAATCACTCACTGGTTTCAAGGTTCAAAACTAGTCAATCCCTACAACTATTTTAATTGTGTATAGAAAAGCCTTGGTTTTCAGCATGGCATCTGGAACAATTTTGACTAAAGAAAATCTTACTAAAATAAGAGCAAGGCAATGTGTGAAATAAATTGTGTTGCCTAAATCAAGGTTGACTGGTGGATTGGTTTTTGTTGTTTTCTTTTCAGTTTCGATGTTTTTGTTTGGCAAGGGTGTTGCTGTGCTGGGGTTTGGGTTTGTTTTTGTTTTGAGATTTTGCTCACAGTTGGGGAAATCAAGAGAAATACTTCCATTTGCACAATCTATAATATCGGTTCATGGGTAGCAATGCCAAAACACTGTCTAACAAATCTTTACCGCCTCGGTGTACAAATCTACTGTGGACGCAGTTAAGCAAAACAGGGGTTAAAAATGAAAATAGCCAACCAGACCTGCTACGGAATCTGGGTGAACAACAATAAAACAGTTAAAAAGATATATAGAAACAGAGCAGCTTAGAGGCATCATGGTTAAGCACCAGACCCAGGAGAACACCAGAGAACACCTTCCTGAGGAAGCAGAACTGCAATGGAAACCCCTGGCGAGTCAGTTTTGTGTCGGGTTTCCGAGGGCAGGGAAAGGGAAAACTGCCGGGGGATGTTTACGAGCCGGGGGAGAGGCACTGCCCCGGGAGCGAGACCCCCGCTGCCCCAAACCCCAGAGCGCCTCAGGGCCGGGACAGCCCGCACCGCCCCGCTCCGTGAGGGGACGGAACCGCGGGACCCCGAGGAGAGAGAGAGCCCTGAGGGGAGAGAGAGAGAGCCCTGAGGGGAGAGAGAGAGAGCCCTGAGGGGAGAGAGAGAGAGCCCTGAGGGGGGAGAGAGAGAGCCCTGAGGGGGGAGAGAGAGAGCCCTGAGGGGAGAGAGAGAGCTCTGAGGGGGGAGAGGAAGAGAGAAAGCTCTGAAGGGAGCCCCCCGCCCCCAGATCACCCTCACCTGGGTGACGATCACATCGTAGAACTCCCGGCGGCAGTCAGAGACGAACATGGCGGGAAGGAGGAGCGGGAAGGAGCGGCGGGAATGCCGGAGCGGCGGGAATGCAGGAGCGCCAGCCCCGCTCCCGGGCCGGCCCCGCTCAAACTGCGCGCCAACCAGCCCTGCGCCCCATTGGTCGGCGCCTCACGACACTCTGGCCAATGAGAATGCGGCAGCCCCGCCGACGCGGCGCAGACTGCCCAGTCCCTTCCGGATGTCCGCCAATGGGATTGGAGGGAGGCGGTGGCGGCACGCGCGACCGGCCAATCCCGAGAGGGCTTCAGCCGGAAGCACCGCGCTGAGTCTGTGTAGCCGTCTCCGCCATCTTTTCCGCGGGCGAGGAGTTTGTTCTGCCTTTACGGCGAGCCCGGCCAAGCGGCGGCGGGGCCGCAACAAGGCGCGATGACCCAGAGGGGGTCGGCAGGGCAGACAAGCCCCACGCGATGCCGTCTCTGAGGTGCGGGGTCCCGCCTTCCGCCCTCACAGGCCATGGCGGCGCGGGCGGCGCGGGGCACGCCGGGAGGGGCGGGGCGGGCCCGCAGAGCCCGTGAGGCGGAGCAGCGGCCCCGGCCCGGCCCGACCTGACCCGGCGGCCCAGGGAGTTGCGGCTCCGGTACCGCCGCCATGGTGAGCCCGGGGTGGGGCACGGGCATCTCCGCCGCGCCGCGGCAGCCCTAGGGGGGCTCTGGCTCTCCCGGGGCTGTGGGCACCGATTAACGCGTCCTTCTCTTTGTGTTGTTTTTTTTTTTCCTTTCTAGTTCTCGTTTAACATGTTCGACCACCCCATCCCCCGCGTGTTCCAGAACCGCTTCTCCACTCAGTACCGCTGCTTCTCGGTGTCCATGCTGGCCGGGCCTAATGACAGGTCAGATGTGGAGAAAGGCGGGAAGAGTATGTGCATGTTTTATTTTGACTAATAAACCTGTTGGAAGGGTGTTTGTGAATGTTGTCGAGTAACGCAGCTTTTGGCCGAGACTGCAGAGACGTTGAACGGCAGGAGACAGCTGAGCACCCTGGGTGGGGCCCTGAGGAAGGAGGAGGCGTCATCTTCCATTGCCTTGCTCTGTAATTAAAAACCTTACCGAGTGAGTCTGGGTTTAGGAGGGTTAGAGTAAGACAGTCTTATTTTTTGAAGTCTCTTGTTTCAATCTTGGATCTAGTATAAGCCATGGAAGTTAACTTAAACAAAGAATAATAGATTGGCTAACTTCATTTTCAAGCTGTCAGATCAATGCTGTGTTAAGTTGGTGTCATTAAAGACCACCTGTGAGCCCAAACAAGTAAAATTAGCTTTAGAAAATGTTTGCCTTAGCACTAGATACTGTAAAACCTTGTCTCCTCTTTTTCTTTCTTTTCTCATTAAATTCTGAATCATCATTAGCAGATGCATTTATCATGACTGGTTCTACTGAAACCTCTGGCTAAAAATGAATTTAGATTTTAGAATATCCATTTTTTTTAGAGGAGACTAGAGAAAGGAATGCTAAAATTTTGTTATGTACTCTTATACAGGTGTACTTTTCCTAATCTTACATTTCTGTTCATCCCTGCAGTAATTATGCCACCGTCAGCTTTGGATCAACTCAGTAAGTGAATATTATATTGAATATTTTATTGGAACAGCAACATTAGAAATATCAGCAAACACGTAAGCAAATGCCACAGTGTTTTAGCTGTCTCTGGAAGTCTGACTTAAATCGAGAATATGAGACCAATTAGTTAAAAAATATATTCTGAAGATGTTTTTTTCTGTCAGAATTAAGGGACTCGTCTGTCTTCAATACAGACATTCCGAGTGTTGGGCTACCTGAGGTGTGAATCAATGTTAATTAACTATTAATAGTGTACTCAGGATAATGGTTACAGTTAATCTTGTAAATTCTTAATCTCAACCAGGTTGTCCTGGATAATGTTGTCTGGAGCAAAATTTATTTTAAAAACAAAAAAAAGTGACAGTTAACTTTGAACTGGGGAAAAGATAACCAAATCAAAAACATGAAGGGTCTCTTTTGGCCTTTTTAACTAAGGGTTTTTTCTCCCCCTTGGAGTTTTAGTCTTAATAGAATTTCTCTGAGAAATTACTTTAGTAATTTAATTTTAAAATAGGCAGGACCTGTTAGAAGCCATTAGGTAGATGCTGAGTGATAATAGCACAAGGGTGTAACAGTAATAGATTCCTCTCTCATTCCTGCTGCCTGCTCATGTTTGAGCTTGGGGAAAGGTTGGGGGAGGATTTAAAGCTCCAGGTGTGATGCCAACACAGTATTTGTGTATCTGCTTTCTCTCCCGGATTTGTAGTTGGGATAATGGTGGGAGGGGAATCCTCTCCTGCAGTCTGGCCCGTTCCCTTGGTGATGTTTGAAAGCTTCAGCAATGTGTTGGTGGCTGCTGACCAACAGAACTCTCCTGTGCTGTGTCCCCAGGCCGCCTGAACATCACTTACCCCATGCTGTTCAAGCTGACCAACAAGAACTCGGACCGCATGACGCACTGCGGGGTGCTCGAGTTCGTGGCTGACGAGGGCATTTGTTACCTGCCACACTGGGTGAGCTGCTCCTGCTGGGCTGACAGAACCCCAGCAGCAGCATTAGCAACCTGCCAGTTTCATATTAAAGGAGTGCAGTGTTTCCTGAATGTGTCTCTGCTGCTCATGTCCCAGCAGCTTTCAGTCCCAGCTCAGGTTCCCTCTTGGAGAGGTTAACTAAGCAGAGCAGCCTGTGTTTAAGAGGCACCTGGCTGTTATTCCTGAGATGAAACCAGGGTAAACAGGTGCACGTCAAGGAAGATGGTGGCCCCAGCAAAACTAGATATACACTAGGAAAGAGACTTGAAAACGTCTGACATAGTGGTTTGTATCTTTGTTTCCATTCTTGCAGATGATGCAGAACTTGCTGCTGGAAGAGGGAGGCCTGGTGCAAGTGGAGAGTGTTAATCTGCAGGTTGCAACTTACTCAAAATTTCAGCCACAGAGTCCAGATTTTCTTGACATCACCAATCCCAAAGCTGTGTATCCTTCCTATTTGATGATGGAAAAAGATTTTTCTCCCAAATTGGAACAATCAGGCAGAGCTAACTTTCCAGGTGGGACTCACGCTCTTCTGGTAGTAGGTGACTGCTGCTGCTGCTGCTTCTGAAAACAAAAGGGATGGAGAGCTGTTGTACAGAGATGTGGCCAGCTGCTGGCACAAAGTGTGGCCTGGAGTGAAGCAGCAGGAATCTTGGCTTAAAAGTCCAATGAATTTTGAGTGTCCCTTTGAAAAACTTGTACACCCCAATGTTTACTAAAAGGCTACCTCTGGTGTACTGTTGATTTTTAAATCATGTTTGAGAGCCCAAGGATCAGGGGTCTGTAACACAGTAACTTTAAAGCTTTGCTGTTGCCTTGAAAACAAGTGTTTCATCTTAACATGCCCTGAAGATTAGAAAATGCATTGAGAAACTTTGCCTGTCTAACGACTGGGGATGTTATTGCCATCAACTACAATGAAAAGGTACAGTGGAGGGTTGAGGGTTGCGGACTAAGTTCAGTTGTTGGATGTTGGTGCTAAAACAGTCAACCCAGAGCTGTGCAGTGTTGTTGACAAGTAATCCCAAATGGAAGATTTCGCAGCTGGTTTTCTGTTGGAGGGAAAAAGTGGTCATTTAAGCCTTTCCCTGAACTGCTCTTTTGACTCACAAGAAAATAAGCCTTTGCACTGTTGAAGTTTTTACAAGCCGAAAGAGAGAATTTATCCTAATTTGTTTTCAAAAGTGCAGATTAAAGTACAGTGAGGTACAGTAATAGGTAGGTTCTCTCAGTTCTGAGTTAAAAACCTTTGCTCTTAAGTTCTGTAGAGACCCTGCAGTATCCAGTCCTCAAACTAGAGCACTTCCTGCAGTTTTCTTATACGTAAAGCTGAGCTTTTTCATGTGCAGTCCTCAAATAGCCATTGGTGTTTCAGATCTACGAGCTGCGGGTCATGGAGACCAAACCAGATAAGGCCGTGTCCATCATCGAGTGTGACATGAACGTAAGTGAACGCTGATGTGGAAGGTGTGCCCTGACCGTGTCCTGCCGGGGGGAGGGACAGTGCTGTGCGTCCAGCACCTCTGGTGCTGCAAAAAAGGTACAGGCAGATGGGTGGGGAGGGGGACTCGTTTGGGAGGACTCCATGTGCCTTTGTAACCACATCCGGGGTCTAGAGTGGCACTTGATGTACCATCAGGTGACTGGTGCCTGGAATGGAATGGTTAGCCTTGATGTGCTTTATCTGGGTTGTATTTAATAGCCTTGTCAGGGATACTGTGGTGCTGCTGTACTGCTCGGCTTCAGTTACTTGCTAAGGCTTATTCCTGGGAGGCTTAGTCTTTTTTTAGTTTGGAGTTAAAATGTTCAACAAACAAGTCTCAGTTCTTTCTAGATCTAATACAGTGATGATGGTTTGTGGAGTTTGGAGGAATAGTAGTATAAAGCTTATGATTAAAAGAAAAATATTAACTGCATTTATTTTCATGTTTTTTGTGTAAATAGGTGGATTTTGATGCTCCTTTGGGGTACAAAGAACCAGAAAGAAGTGCACAACACGAAGAGACCACAGTAGGTTAAGTTTCTGTTGTTCCAAAGTGTATTCCCTAGAAGTCAGCATTGCTTGTGGGGAAGCAGTGAGCCTCAATATAATTTTTTTTTTTCATGAAACAAGTTCTTAAGGGTAAATTTGACTTACCAGGAGCTTTTGCATGTGTTACTTAGGAGATGGTTGTTTACCAACTGTTGGTTTTGGAAAGGGATTGTTGTGAGGTTTTGTTTGGTCAGAAGTACGTGGGACTGTTCCCACATGTTGTGCGTGTCACACACAATGAACTCCAATGTTTTCTCCCTCCCAGGATGTGGAAGCTGACCACAGTGGATACGTGAGTGACATAGGATTTCGAGTAAGTCCCTTATTTCTGCTGGTTTCTGAATGGTGTAGAATGGTGAGGGAAAGTTGTTTCAAAGAACTGTGAAATACTAATGTCTGTTCTTAGAGGCGATTGTCATTTAACTAGTGGGTACCTGCAGTTGTTTTATGATGATTGCAACCAGGAACTGGATGACTTGCTGTCTTTGTAAAGGTCAGTCTGTAAGTGGGAGACTGAAACATACCCCTGCAGCCAGGGTCCATCCGCTTACATGCACCAAAAAGAAACATGCTGAATCAAATAACTAAATAAAAGTGACTGGTGGATTGCACAGAATATAGTGTCCCTGTGCAGTGAGCTTTCAGATACCAGAAGTTAAATTAAAACTCATTATGTATCCCTAGGCATTCTCTGGTTCTGGGAACAGACTGGATGGCAAGAAGAAAGGTGTGGAGCCTAGTCCCTCACCGATTAAACCAGGAGACATCCGAAGGTATGTTTCATTCATTTGTCAGCAAGTGAAGAATCAGTGTTTGAGTAGAATTTTAGGTTTTTTTCCTGCTCTTGCAATATAAACAAACTAATTTCATCATAAACTTGCCTTTAGAAAATAAATAATCTTATCCACAGGCTGCATGGAAACATGGCCCTGGCCAGGCTTCCACAGCAACTCCAGTATTTGGTTTTTTAACTCATGCAGTGCATGAACCTTCAGAAAATAATTCAGTGGTTTAACTCCGGAATTATTTAGTAATGGAAATGTGCAGCGAGTGTTGGTACAACACTGACAGACATGGAACAGCTCTCACTGTGTTCAATTCCATGGTAGGTATAAAACTTCTTTCATAATATCTTTATGCTTCTTTTCCAGAGGAATTCCCAACTATGACTTCAAGATCGGTAGAATCACATTCATCAGAAACTCACGCCCACTGGTTAAGAAAGTTGAAGAGGTAAATAAAGTTGAGTGCTCCCAGTCTTGCACAGAATTAGAACATTAGAGCTATGGTCCAAGTTTGTGGTTCCTCTCTCCATACTTAATTTTCACAGCATGCTTCTGTTAAAAAGTGGTAGCAGTTAACTGGTGCGAGTTAAGTAAAAGCAACCTCTGGTGTCCTTGTTACTGATGTAAAGATGGGCCTGGTGTGTAATGAGCCAGTGCAGCATCATTTCATGTGGCTGCAAGGCCACCAAAGTACTCCTATTTTATTTTCAGGAACAAAGTAGTTAATATCTAGATTAAGGATGGGGAATGTCTACAGTCAGTGGCTGCTCTGATGGAATGTTCTTTCTCATGATTGTTCAGCTTTCATCACACACAAACACTGCGCAAAGAGGTAACAACCTTTTCCCCTCTTTCCTTTCTCCAGGATGAATCTGGAAGCCGGTTTATTGCCTTTTCAGGAGAAGGCCAGTCCCTGCGCAAAAAGGGAAGAAAGCCCTAGGCTGTGGGACCTTCCGTTAGTTAGGAGGAAAATAAAGTAACAGTTGCAGCATATTGGATCTTAGTTATTGCAGTTAGAGGAGAGATCTTCTGCAACATAGGAACCCTCTTACTGGTTCTGGTTTCATGTTTAAAATCGGAGCTGTCAGACTGTCTTAATTTTCAGTTGAAAATTGAGTCCTGAGCTTTTTGTATGTGTTGTAAAGAGGGAACGTAGATCTCTGATCGACCTGAGAAGTAAAACTAACAAAGCTCTACCTTACTAAAGATCCAGTTCTTAGACTACATCCTCCCCTCCTATCCTGAGTGATGATGGTCTCATGTCGCTCTTTGCTTGGTATTTTCCTCCCTCTATATATAATTTTGCCACAATTTCAGGTCAGCTTTTTTGGTGTGGTGCGGGTGAAGGCTGACACTTTAGTGTTTAGGACTTTTGTGCTCGAGGAGTCTCCTTGAGCTTTAGCTTCAGGTGTTGGGTTATCAACCATTTTAAGCGAACCCCTTGTAAGTGCTTTTTATATTTATAATTATTAACATGCCTTTTAATAGTTCAGATGCTATAACGTAGCCATCTAATGGCAGGTGTAGGGAGAGGCGAGACCCAGCTGCGCTGCCCTGCTTTGGAAGGCGGTGTGGGTGTCACCCCGAGGGTGCGCGCTGTGCTGAAAGGCCGAGTAAAGGATCCTGGTAACGAGCTGCGTCCCTGTGTGGTGATTTGGGTCCTGGTACCGAGCTGCGTCCCTGTGTGGTGATTTGGGTCCTGGCAAGGAGCTGCGTCCCTGTGCGGTGATTCGGGAAGGCCGAAGCGGGCCCTCCGTGCCGGGGTGCGCTGTGAGGGCGGCTCTGAGGGCGCTGCTCCCGCCCCGCCCCGCCCGGCGGGCAGCCATTGGCTCGCGGCTCGGGGCCGCTTTGTGCCGCCCCTCGCCATTGGCTGCACCCGCGTGTGCCGCTGTAAGGGCGGCGCCCATTGGCGGAGGCGCGGCATGGCGGACGCGGGCGGCTCGTGGCGGGTGAGGGGGCGCGGGGCCGGGGTGGGGGGCTCGGTCCGGTGTGGGGGGCTCGGCCCGGGGCTCAGCTCGGCCTTGTGTCCGCCCGCAGCCGCCGCGGCCGTGCGAGGACTACTGGGGGGAGTGGAAGCACTGCCGCGGGCTGCGCCACGCCTTCCACCACTACTACGCGCACGGGGAGCTGCCGGCCTGCGGGCGCTGGCGGGAGGACTACGAGGCCTGCCGCGCCTGGGAGCGGCACCGCGCCGCCGCCGCGCAGGTACCGCCGGGCTGGGGCTGCGGGGGGCCTGGGCAAGCAGCTGGGGAGGATCGTCCTGACGTCCGTTTAAGGATCCAGGGAGTATTTTCAGTGTTATGCTGCAAAAGCCCTTGATTTCAGTTACTCAGACAGTCCCTTCCCGATAGGAAAAGCTGTGACGTTACAGGCAAAAAGTGTTCGTGCGGTGTCCAGAAATGCCTCTGGCTCAGCCCCACGGACGCTGGAGGAGTCGGGCCCTGCAGCAAAGGCCACAGCGTAACCCGCTGGAAAGCCCTTGGTGGGGAGGGTTGCACAGGACTCGCAGTGTTCTTCCTCATGCAGGAGTCACAGGCAGAATATGACTTGGTTAAAAACCTGTATCCTGGCTTACTTAGATAGCATTTGGCACTTCTGTTTAAGCACGATAAATTTCTTTCTCGCATTTTATCTCAAAGAGTCATAACAGGAAATGGGCTCTGTACGACTGGAATATCCAGCACTATCAAGGTAATATTTTTTCTCTGTTTCAGGAAGCTTTGTGCAAGAGTGAAAGAGCTCGAGTTATGGAAAGCCAGAAGTATGCTCCAGTGTGGACACTCAGGAAGAGCCCCCCACCAGACTGGTATCTACCCCTCGACCAGGACAAACCAAATTAGGAAGACTGTTTGCTGTGTTTAGTCAGTAACTTAATACATAATTCAGACCTGTGCTGCCTTTTTTTCTTCCATGTCATCTTGAAGTTATACGACTGTAGCTCTGCCCTGCTGTACTTGAGCACTCATTCAAAAGTACTGAGAGTTTATTTAAACGCTGAGTATTTTTTAAAGGGAGACTTGAGGTGCCTAATTTGTCTCTGGTCTTGTATTCCTCTTACACTTTAGGATTTTGTCTCAGCAACTCAGCAGACAACTCCCAAATTAATGCACACGTGATCCAGCTCTTCTTGCTAGATGAGGCCTCTTCCCCTTCCTGCTGGTGGTGTGCACTTTTGGAACAAGGTACCCACCCCAGGCCTGCAAGATGGGCAGAAAACAAGCTAGGAATCCTCCCTTCAGTTCAGGACAATCCCAACCACTGGCATTTAAAAGGCATGTCCCAGAACAGGATTGTTGTGGGCTAAGAGCTTCTCAGCTGAGGGGGAGATGCTGCAGACCCTGAAACTGCCCCTTTGTGGAACTACTCTTGAATGATGGTGTGTGTTGTGGTAGTATTCAAAACTACTACAAAAATAAATGTTTTAACAAATGTAGAGATAGATCTGGTCTGGTTTAGGGCAAAACCATGCCAACTTGATTACACAAGTTACGTGGCAATATAATAAAATAAAAAAGCTGGCTTTGGCACTGGGTAAGGTTGTGTAGCTTGGCTGGGTGTCTTACCACCTGGGTAATTCTTTAAAAAACCCAAACACACAGATACTTCACTAATACTTTATATACAGTCACACACCTGCAGCACTGTAACCTGCAGGAGGAATTGTGTATTCTCTCTCCCTTCAGTCCGTCCTTCCTTCAGTGGCTGAGCAGCTCCTGGCAGGTGCCCCACGCCCTCCTCACTGCGTGTACACCTTGGTGATATCAACACACTTTCCCTCGGGGGGGTCATAGCCAGGAAGGGGGGGGGTGTAGGTGGGTCCATCCCTCTGGAAGGGGAAAAGCCCCTCATCCCGTCGGATCGCTGCCTGGTACAGCTCCTCGGATTCCAGCCGCAGTTCCTTCAGTGCCTCTTGCTGAGATTCCACAAGGCTCTGGATTGCTTTCTTTTCTGCCTCATCTTGTTTCTGCTTAAACAAACACCACTTCTTCAGAAGTAAAACTCTTCTTTCAGTCTCTTCGGGAGACAGAGCGGGAAGGCTTCGCACCCTGGCAAAGAGTAGGGTAATGTGAGGGAGAAATAACCTGACTGCAGAGACCAAATTAAAAAAATCAATCAAACAAACAAATTAATTTGCTAATAATTTAGTCTGTCTGCAAAGACATCCCCATCATTCTAACAGGAAATCCCCATTACTTTTAGCAAGAACAAATAAAATTTCCTTTTCACATTTTTGTCCTTATGGAAGTGAATGAGGCTTTTGTACCAGAGAAAGAAATTCACTGCAAATGCAGGCACATGGTAAATCCAGAGTCACTGACCTGCTGCTGTCCGAGTACTTGAGTGGAGTTATAAAATCCTCAATTGGAATCAGTTCTGGGGCAGCTTTTTCCAACTTTTTAAGCTTCTTTTTCATACGATCCTTCTGTGCTTGCTCTCTCCTAACATCCACTTTCTTCTTCTTCTTTGGCTGTGCTCTACAAGGGAAATAGTAAATAAAAGAAGGTATTTTGTCCTTTGATTCAACACCAGCAACTTCCACTTTAGTTTTCCAAGGACTGTTCCTTCCCATTGCTTAATTTGGTCCCTAATAGAAGTTTCCTGCCATGAGCTTCATTCAAGTAGTGGAATTTCCACAAGACAGCGACTTGTCTGCAGAGAGAGCTGTAACTGCCCAAGAAAACCCACTTTGTGCTGAATGATCTGAGGACGTTCCCCAAAAATTGAACTGGAATTGTTTTGCACTAGCTTGGAATGCAGCAGAGCAGGTAACAGATTAGGAGTGGAAACCTCATCTGGTTCCAACCCCCTGCCATGGGCAGGGACACCTTCCACTAGACCAGGTTGATCCAAGCCCCGTCCAGCCTGGCCTTGGACAAATGTTCCTGTCATTTCATGTTAAAGAAGAGAGTGGGTGGTTTTACTGCTTCTAAAATTTGGAGCCAAATTCAGGCTGCAAATGTGACTCTCCTGTAGTACTTCCCCATGCAAGTCCTGTATACCCAAGGCACACTCCACAAACTGACCCTCACAGTGGACATCAGGGTGTCATTCCTGCCTTGCAGAATAAACAACCCTCTCTGAGGGTACCTCACAGCTACCAGGGTACTTTAGTGCATCAAAACAAAACATGGACACCAAAATGACGTGCACGTGGGCTGCCTTTGCCTTCACAGCAAAGCATTGCTGCTTCAGCTTTCACTGCCAGCAGGGAATTCTGGAGCACTGCATAAATCCCAGCATTTCCAGCTGCATTCAGTGGCTGAGGAAGCAAATGCTACACACAAGCACAATGTGGTAATTGTGTCACCACCGAAGGGCCCTCGAGAGGCCAGCACTCCTTAATGCTTTGGCGTTTGGAGACTCAACCATGCACAGGTAAAGGCGAATTTGGACTTGGGAAGATTTGTGTTGCCCCGCAGATGGGAACACTGCTCCCTAACTCCAAGGCACGTGCACTCACCTCACAGGGAGGGACGTCCTGAGGGTCAGCACAGAGCTCTGCCAGTGACTCCCTCGGAGCAGGCCCATCTGGGGCAGCAAGGAGCTGCAGGAGGAAAAGGAACATAAAGCATGAGGACAAACTGACTCTGGTGGCACAAGAGCTACTTGTTAGTCAAATGAGTGATGAGTTTTGAACCATCTCAACTTGGGGCAGGATCCAGCGTTTGCCTAGAGATGACCTCCAACTCTTCAGCGAGGTCACTGACCCCGGGCTGGTCGGTGTTGTGCGCCCACAGGGTACCGAGGGGCGAAACAGAGACTTTTTTTGGGTAGGTTACAGTAATGTTAAGCTCTGACAATGGCTCCTTTGAGGTGTTGGGATGGGAGAGATAAAAGCACCACCGTTTGGATTAAGAACCCGCGCACCGGCTCCTCCAGGTGCCGAGGGACCCCGGGCTGGGAGCAGCCCCGGGGCGCAGCTGGAGCGGGCCCGCCAGGCACCGCGGGCATGCAGCACTGCCAGGGCTATCTCCCCGCGGCCCCGGGGGCGCTGCAGGATCCCCCCGGCCGATCCCGACCCGGATCCCCCCTGGGGCGGTGCCGGATCCCCCCGGGGGGTGGTTCGGGGTCCCCCCGGGGGGGTGCCGTGTCTCCCGGGGGTGGTTGGGGTTCCCCCCGGGGGGGTGCCGTGTCTCCCGGGGGTGGTTGGGGTTCCCCCCGGGGGGGTGCCGTGTCTCCCGGGGGTGGTTGGGGTTCCCCCCCCCGTACCTGGCCCGGGCCCCGCGCAGGGCTCGCGCCGCCGCCCACATGTCCCGCGGTGCTGTCGCGGCCCGTCCCGCGGCCCGTCCGCCCGCGCCCCTGTCCCGCGCCCGCCGTTCCGGCGCAGGAAGGTTCCGCGCGGCGCTCCGCCCCGCCGTTGCCGCCCGGCAGGGGGCGGGCTGCGCGAGGCGCGCGGAACGCCGCGCTCGGGGGCGCTGTTTCCCGCCGGGCCGCTGAGGCGCGGGCCGGTTCCGGCCGTGCCGGATCGCCGGCGGGCCCGGCCGGAGCGGGCTGAGCTCCGTCCGCCAGCCCGGCCGGAGCGCGGGGCTCGGGCGGGGCCCGGGGGGGCCGGCGGGGCCCAGCGCGGGGCCCAGCGCGGGGCCGGCGGGAACAATGAAGCTGCTGAAGCCGACCTGGGTCAACCACAATGGTGAGGCCGGGCAGGTGCGGCGGGGAGCGGGGCCGCGGCACTCGCGGGGTCCCGGGCCGGGCCTTGGGCCGCCCCCCGGCCGCGCCCGGAGCCCCGCCGGGCCCGGAGCGGCCGCAACAAGTGCCGGTGTGTCCCGGAGCGGGGCCGGGGCTCCGGGGCGGGGCGGAGGGGCCGTGCCGGGGCAGCCCCCGGGCCCGTCCCGCCGCCACGGCGTGTGCTCGGGGCGCAGCCCGGCTCGGGCGGGCACGGCTGCGGGGGGAGCCGGAGCCTCTCCCGCCGCCCGGGCGGCTCCGTGCCTGAGACAGCGCCGGAGGGGTTTGAGCGCAGGGCGGTCGGCGCTGGAGATGCCCGCGGGGTGAGAGGTGTCCGGGCACGGCACTGACCGCGCTGCTCTCACGGACCGGGGCAGCTTCGCTATCCCTGTCCCCACAGAGCACTGCTTTCAAAACAGCTCCCTGAATGTCTGTGCTATCCTGTCTGCCGGTCCTCTGGGGATTTTGTAGAGATCTGTGAGCTCAAACGCTTTCAGAGTGAAGTGTTGGTATTGACAGAAGGCTCTGTGCTTCCCTAGTGTGGAAAATACGGGGTAGCATCAGTGTTATGTACTTACAGCGCTGAGGATGAGTTTCCAGGTTAATACCTGTGCTGTTCCTGGTGAGGCAGTGAGAAGAAATCTATCGTGAAGAGCTCGCTTGAGTTTGTGCAGGTTTTGTCCTCAGAGCCGTGGGTCCAGCTCCATTTCCTCTCCAAACTGTGCCCTGTGAGTGTCTAAATGTCACTGGGTGGACTCACGCAGCTGATTGGGATCTAGAATAAGACTAAGCTGGAGACCAGCTTATTCAAGCTGGAAAAGCGTGCTTCGAGTTCAAAGCCACAGACACAGCTTTACAGCTGCCTTTCTGCACTGGTGGTGGGTTTGTGTCCGAGCTGCCGAGTTTGTAACATCACTCAAGCCTCGGGTTGCCTTCACCTGCATCTTTACTTGGCCTGCTCTCCAGGGACTGTGTAGGCAGCAGATGGATCCAGCCTTGGAACCAGAGGTTGTAGTGAAGTGAAAAATTGTGGAAGTACTTTATTTGAGTTGGTTTTTACATTTCTGCTTGGTTAATCTAAACAAATGTAGCATTTGCATCTTAATCTCTGGATGCCTGTGGGGAGAACCTCCTGCGCCTCTGTTTATCTTCAGTGGGAGCACACTTAGGAGCAGCTGAATAAAAACTTCCAGCCTAAATCTAATCTAAGAGATTAGATCTGTGACTTCTTTCCTTATTTCTTTAAAGGGTGCACCTTTTGATACGGGTACGTCTTTGAAATCTGTAGCAATTTAAAACACATCCAACCATTGCAGAAAACAGGCTCCAGCCAAGCAATTTGCAGCAGGGGTTCATTTGGAGAGCCCTGGGATACTCTGCCTGGTGGATAACGTGCTACCCAGGGCCTCGATAGTCCCAAATTATATTCCCATTTCTGCTGCTGACCTGCTGGGATGAGTTTGGCCGAGTCACTTTGTCACAGTTTCACCACCTGCAGAAGAGGCACTCGGCACCATCTCCATCTGTGAGGCGCTGGCAGTGGTGC